AGTGATGTCATGACAAAAATGAATGACCAACAAAACATTTTTTCTCCTTCATTTCTGTCAAACAAAGCTGTATGTAACGTTTCTCGCGGTTAGTATCGTGGTTGCTAGGCAACCTGAACAGCGAGACGAAGGCTAGACCGTCCCATTTCGCGTCCGGAGTACGCGTAGTGCGCGTACTTCAAGTGTGCAGACCCTGAATTGGGACACAGCTCTTGTTTGCTCTCGCTACTTAAGGCAGTGACTGAGAGCACCTCGCCGCTGGACTATTGAGTAACGCTCGTCAGTGCTGCTTTAGCCTAAGCCCGTTTTGTGCTTTCTTCGTGAAAGTTTTCCGTGTTAATTCCTGATCTCTGTATACAGATTCTTCGTGCTCGGTTCGGAAGTTTGGACACCGAAGCCTGTGCGTGAGTGCCGCAGTGAGAGTGGCGTGTGTGAGGAAAGAACCTTTCCAAGTGCATTCTTCTGTTTGTGTGGAGCGGAGCAAGAGAGGACATTTTTCCTGATTCTGCCCTGTACCCCTGGGAACCTTGGTCCCCTTCTCCTTCACCTGTATATAGTGCACCGGGAGTGTGTAAATAAAATTCAGTTTTCTGTGATTTCAGTCTGCGCCGAGTCCTCCCTGTTCCCGCGTGACAGGATGAGAGTTCAAGCAGCAGGATAATGCATGATAGTTTAGATAGGACAGAGATAAAACATTAAAATAAAGCACAAGTCACAGATTTGTGTTAAACAGACAATCCACCTTACGGTAGGAGTCATTCATTCCTGCTTTTGGTCTTTTATTTCAATTATTTTGTCTGTAGGAAAACTACACATTGCCAACTTTACTCTAAAGGTGAGATGTCCCTGGTGCTCGAGGGTGTACATCTTTGGTCTAACACATTTTATATAAAACTCAAGATCATGAGTCAAATTTTGACACCAAATCCATCACTTTGTAATCAGTACATGGCACACTGATTTTACAGCCAACACTTTGCTGTAGAAAAACACCTTTGTTTGGAAGACCTCTGAGGTGATTTTGTGAAGGTCCAAAATGATTCAGTAGGACTCAGCATTTATGGTAATAGGTTTTACCTTGTCCACGCTCGATTCGGTTTACTAATAATTACTTTTGGCCACCCAGGCCCAGGGAGACTGGTGAAGGGGAGAATGCGAATGAGCGCCCGGTGTGAAAAATGAAGAGCTAGTTTAAAAATTAGCCGCCATGAAGGAATGGATCTACGATGATGGGGGACCGACCATTTTCTGATATGAGTCAGTCACACACCACCAATTGAACTCAGATGGATAACAGCGTAGGACAGCGAGAACGTGATGGCGGTGTATTCATACAGTCTTTAATAATTTTCCTCTCAGTTCCTGCTGTCACACTGGAGGCAGCAGCAGTATGGGTGAATTGGGAGAAAAAACACACATCATATACACACAAATGTTCAAGTCCTCGTATAACCCAGTAGAAAAAACGACTAACATAGTTTTGTTCAAAGGTTCCCCTTCTTTGTGTTTTGTTCCACACCCAAATCAATAGTTTAGATGTCCTCAGTGTGGAACGGAGGTGTTATCAGAATAAATATCCGTGTTTGGCAGTAATTTATATACAACCAAACAAAAGTCCAAGCCTTGGAGGGCTTTTATTTAAGTGCAATCATGTTTGACAAATGAGATTCAGATAGGAGTGAACATGGCACTTCAAACAAGAGCAGCGCTCCACTTGTAGTGGATATAGATGTCTGAAGAGAGATTGCTTAATACTTGAATGAAAGGGAAAGGCAAAAGGGTAGAAAACAAAATAACGAGATACAAACAAAACAGCCCATCCCCCCTGTAAACACACCACTGTTCAAAAAAAGAACAAAAAATGTACAAGAAAGGAAAAGCTGCACAAAGAGCTCTACCTTGGTTCAAACCATTCCTTAAAATGGGTTCAGGTCTATTTTGTCCCGGTGATGTATTATCCAGACTATTACTATTGGCAAGTAAAAGCCCATGTTCGCTTATGTGAACGACTTTAAAGTTAATCTTATGTTTAATGAGCACAGAATCCTAAAACTTATTTCAACTTTAGCAGACCAAAATAGTCGAGTAAGCCTGATAACGCTCACATTATTGGTATTGATCGCGAAGGATCGAGAGATCAAACGTTCCTTAAATGTCAGAGTCTTACAGAAAGAATTTACCTCTGAAGTGAGTTTTTGCATTCAGAAAAATCAACAGACTGTTGTTAAGGTTTAAAAGCAAATGGCAAGTGCACGATCCAAGATAAATAAAATGTCCTTAAATAAATGAATATCGACCTAAACACATGTATCAATTAAAAGTTCTATGTTGAACTAGAATATAGCTATGGTGGGTTTTTTTGTATAAGATCGAAATAAAGTAAACACATTGGAAGATTTTCAATCATGATAGCAGACAGACACTTACTTGCTGTGGGATTATCTGCTCAGATGAAGCTGCAAGATTGATGGCAAACACATGGTCCCTGCAAGAAAGTGAGTCACGACATTATTGATGTCATCTTTCTTTGCAACCCTTCATATTTTTTTTTTCCAATGCAAAGCTTTAAAAGCATCTAACTTAACCAATTCACCAAAACCTGCCCCAAAACTCTCCTTTTTTCTCTGAGTGCAATTGATTACAGCTGTGCAGCAACACAGACTGGGAGGTGGATTAACAGGCAAGGTTTATTGGCTTTTTGGCTTCAGGACATCACACAAGTTTTCCAACTATCGACAAAACCCATATGAATCACTTTGTGAAGTGAGGAATGCATTTGTTGCACGCAGCTGTAGAAAATATTAAGCCAGTTTATGTGCATATAGGACCTCTATAACTTTTTGGACTGGGTTCTTGGCAGTGGGAGCACTTTATTTTGAAATAGAGCCAAACGCTATAGCAGAACTTACTTTGCACAATGCAACTGGGCAGAGGAGGTGCAACCCTGTACTGTTTAGATAATTAACCTAAAACACATCGAGTGGCAGAGCAATGTGCAAATTAGGCTGTGTAATGCACTTGAAAAAACTTCAGAGGTCCTGCCAAACTGCAAACATGAAAGCAGTCTGATGCAGAAGTGCTGCCTGAGATATAGATCACAAAGAGCTAAAAGTTTCATTTTGGAAACATTTACCTTTTGGAAGTTTTACATTTTCACAAGAATGCAAAATTACAAGAAGCAGTTTCTGTAGCCGTGTTTTTTTTTCCCCTAATCACTTTTTACTTTCACTTGGCCTTCGTGGAGTTCTTTATTATGCATTTAATATATAATATCTGCACTGTTGACACTGATTTGTTTTGCTGGGCTATTTTCCCTCCCTGACAATTAGTTGCAAATTTTGTCTTTCTTCATTGTGTCCTTCCAGGAGCCCATTTACCTCTTGCCCTGTTTTTGCTGCAAAAAAGGAAAAAAATAAACTGACTTGTGCTTAATTAGCTTTACTGGCTAAAAAAAAAAAACTCCAAATGGGTAAATGTGTTGCTTATATAATCAGATAAATTATTCAGAGCTTGTTGGCTGCTTATCAAACTATTTAAGAAGTGTGTGGATAAAGGTTTAGGTTAAAGAAACATGATTATAATTACTCACAAAAGCATTTATTATACTGAAGCCTTTGTGCAACCATGCACATGTTAACATAGTATCAGACTTATAGATGGATGCTAATGAATATAAATGTGTAAGATCATTATTAACTATCTCTTTATAAATGTACAGATTTTACAGTAGGTTGGTAAAAAACACATGTATGAAAATATCCCTAGTCCTTATAGTCCTAATATTTATATATTTATACATGAAGTAATGGTCAATGTTTTGAGTCATATTTTCAACTTCAGTAAACAATGTAAACATTGTCATATTATATCTTTTGTTATGTTGAATTAGCAGCTGAGTGATGGTGACTGACCGTGCAGCGATATAGAGCATGTGATTGATCCTTAGCATCCGCTGGAAATCCAGACCCAGGCGGACAGTGTCATTGTCTGACATGAGTCCCTGGAAGCTGGGGTAGAGGTACGAGGCTGCATGGGCAAAAAGATGAAGAGAAGAAGAAATTATTCGAGTATAAGACAGTCATATGCATCCCCCCCTCCAAAAAAAAAAAAGAACAACAACAAAACAAAAAAACAACTGGAAAGGAATGTCAGAACTTTACTGTGACAGTTCACCGTGGAATCAAAATTTTAAAACTAAAATGGGGATTTCCAGTCTTTGTCAAATGTCAGTGGCGTTTTTTTCCCTTTGAAAAAAAAGAAGCAATTTTTCAGTTTCACATTAATGGAGGCAGTTGGACAACGACAGCTAAAAATTTCATGCACAGTAATATTAGCAATTTAAGAAACACTAACCCAAGGTTACAATTTAGTCGTCTTTTTGAAAACCCTGAGCTCACACTGTATGCAAATGCACACTTGTGGAGGTGGATCAGGGAGAAAAATAGCATCCTAAGCTGCAAATTAGGCAGTCGTGTCATAGAAGTCAATCTGATTTAAATACCTGGCTCCTCGTAAGCATTTCTGAGCAGACATGTCTGGGGACTGTGCCAAGTGAGGACAAAGAAACAAATCAAAAACATCTGAATAGACATTCTAATTGTCACATTTAAATCAGTCTCACCTGCTTCAAAGGTCACGAAAGTTTAGCTTAAGCTGTTTTCATGCATGCACTGCACCCGTGAACTTTTCTGGGACTTATCAGGGAGAGCCGCACGCGAAAATGCAAATGTTGGACATTAAATACTCTTGTGAGGTCCTTATTGCAAGGTCTGTCTGATGCACGATTGTGCTGAATGTGCAAGTAGGCCAACTAGTGGGCGACACGTGTTCCATCTCCTGCATGCATCCCTGTCACAGAAACGACATGATGCACTCACTCCAACGCAAACCATTTACTGCTGCATGACACGTGTGAGAAAGGAAAATATCCCAGCGTGATTCTCCCGAAATCTTCGAAAGTTCATGTGTGAAAATGTCTTTAGTGTTATCATCAATGCCATTAAATACCTTCACCTGGTAAAGTGCCTCTATAACAAATGACACCAATAGGGAAATCATTAAACAAAAAACAAACATAAAATGTTAAATAAGATGAACTGAGGGAAGTCGTGCAAAGACACAGTGATTTAATATAAACTTTATGGTGCACTATGGCTGATTTTCAGCTCCCCCTTCTTCCTCTTCCGCATGTTAATTTCATTTTCTTTCCCTTACTCAAAGTGCAGACGAGCTCACCAGAGGGCAATATTATTTTAAACAATGGGAGATTGTGTCCAGTACTTTAAATAACAAAATAACAGTCAGCCAGTGGATGGATATGCCTTTCAAAAACTTGATTAAAAAAAGATCCTTCAGGCAAAAATGGAATAAGCCTGGCTCAATACTGACACCACGCTGTCTTCCATATCAGATACTTCCCCTGCTGTCTTCCTCTTTTTTAACTAAGCAAAGACTCAGCTGAAGGCCAGAGCATTCTGTGTCTGTAAAGTACTGTATTAAGTGCCCTCCAGCTTCCCATCTGACCTGGGCTGCTGCTGAATTAGCAATCCCCCCTAGAAATACACCACAATCTGAAATTAGTCTCTCTACAGGGAGCCGTACACGCTCCTTTAACCACTCGTCTCAAATCGACTGTTTAAAGATTTAAATGCCTAATGTCTGGCTGAGTGCTGGACCTTGCTGTGCTGTCTGGTGAAGAGACTCCCAGTGGCTCAGCAGCCCGCCCTGCCATCCTCCCCCTTGGCAAATGAGGACTTCTAATTACTCTTTAGCACTTTCACACCCTGTTTGGCTTGGCTAGGTCATTGCTAGCAGAAAACCCCCAGGATAATGACTCGAGGCATTTAGGATCGCTACAACGAGAAGAACGTACAATGTATAAGACCAAGTACTCAAAGAACTACACCAGAATCCTACATTGAAGCTCCAGCAACACTTGTAGTATGAAGAACAATGTTATTTCTTGAGTCAAAGGAGCTTGCAAAGAAAAGCGTCTGGACTTCTTTAAGTTACTTGAAGACGTTTCACCTCTCATCCGAGAAGCTTCTTCAGTTC